AGGTGGGAATCGTTGTCGATCAGCTAGAGAAAGTTATCCAGGTCAGATTTCTCAGTGCTTCTTCACGAAAGAACCTCGCTACCCCTTTGGGGTTTTACATTTTCTTTTTTTCTTTGTTTATTCGAAAGTTTATCATATTGAAAGGCCGCAGTTCGCATCTTGTTTAGTCTGTTCTGTGAATGCTAATCAGTACTGGCATGCGCTTGACGCTGAGAAATTCATGCGACCAGGTCTGTTTCTTTTCATTCATGAGAAACAACTGCTGCTTTTTTTCAGCTAATCATTGATGACCCTTTGAAAGCAGTTGGCGCAAAAATTATCAGCTTTATGGATTCGTCATCAGCTAATGCAGGATCTGAAATGACGGTTACACAATCCAGCGCTGATATTGCAACCACTGGAGTCTCACCAAAAGTTTCTGAGGAGACTACCACATCTCCAGTGACTGCGCGGTCGTTGCAAAGTGTTAAAAATGCTCAGCCCGGGATGCAGAGTTGCGCTGTTGAACAAGTGGCTGCAGGTGCTGCTTCTTTGCCACCGGTATGTGAATAGGTCCTTTCTGTAATGTTAGTAATCTGTTGTATAAGTTGCGCGAAGCCAATTAATTGGGGAAAGATTGCGGGATTGTGGTCACCATAGCACGCAAATGGTTATGTGCATTGATTCCGATCTATAATTTCCTTCGTTTCGCGTGAATTGCGAAAAAGCGTTGCACAGTATTGTGGCAAATGCTGCGCAGTGAGTTTTGTGTCTCATTTAGTAGTTTTTCTGCGAACAAGCGATATTTTTCACCTTCAAGAATAGAGGAGAACTGGTAATATTTGTCGCATTTTCGTGTCATACCCACGAAATCTTACTTGTACATTAGACTGGGGTGGAATGACGGTTAGTTATGGACAGCCGAGACGTCGCCAGTGACAGTGTTTTAGCGAACACTGCATATGTCCTGCGCGAAGTAAAATGCGAAGGGGAATCCAGAAACATTGGCGTTGTGCACTGACGTATTTAAGAACTGTGCCCAGATAGATGCGGAATATAAAGGCAAAAAGCTAAACTAACCAGCATTTTCGTTAATAAATGGGGAGTCTTAGTTGGTACT